TCCTTCGATTTTAATAGTAAAAATTGAAATGTTTCACGAAAAAATTACATAGCTACAGCAGTAGACATGTCGATCCCATGAAATCACGGATGACTGTTATGTTTCTTGCAAATTTCGGAAATTATGCAGATCATTAAAAAAAATTTACATTTACCAATCAATATATGACATTAATTAGTTTTGATTTTCTTAGAATATCGCACACCCCAGTAACCCCCCTTAATGAATATTCATGAATATGATGATTGTGATCACTATGTCAAACAAATTTATTTCAAATCAAATTTTATGAAAAAAAAGAAAAAACAAGACAAGAGAAGAAGAAATACCCAAAACTTGACTAGAAATGAGTTAGTATTATTAAAAATGATTATTTTTATGACCTATTAAAAAAAGATGGTGCAGCTGCGATCCTTGTCATCACTCTAGTTTAGAAATCATGATTACGCCACTACTGCTTCTACTTCGACAAATAAAAGAAGGAGAAATGACTCACCAGATCCCTTGCAATATTCCCAAGAACAAATAAAAAATTTGACCAATTTACCAGTTCTCATAGATATCATAAAAACTGCTGACATCACAAATTTCGAAGTTCCATTAATGCCCTTTGACCTACTATTGCTGCTTAAGGTGATATATCAACCTGAAATTGTATCTTCATTGACATATATTATTTATTGTCAATAATAAAAGTTTACTATATCGTAAACTAATTGGGGTTTTTTAAAAAAAATAGGGAAATCAAGAAATAGATAGGGAAGATACAGTGAACCCTCCATAAGTGCACCCCCTCGGGAACATAGTGCTATTTCTTGTGAGCGTGCATTTATGGAGGGTGTGCATTTATGGAGGGTGATTTTATAAGCTCTCTATAAGCTTGGGGATGAGATGGGCTGTGCATTTATGGAGGGCATGCATTTAGGGAGGGTGCATTGTATTTTAGAAATAACGTACATGAAGAAGATGTAGTAAATGATAGAAGGAGTGGACGATGTGAATGTGGAACAGGAAGAGTAACAGTACAAAGAGGAGAGACTGAAGCAAAAATGAAATTATTATTGTACAACCTACTAGAGAAATAATTGAAATGGAATCATTTGCCACTCCTCAAAATTATAATGAAAATGAACAAGAAGATGGTGGTGAAATCAAACAAGAAGGTGGTTATGAAATCAAAGAAGGTAATTATGAATGTGAACAAGATGGTAATGAAATTGAACAAGACGGTGAAAGTTCTCAAGAAAGTGGCGAAAATCACCAAGAATTGTGACCAGCATCTATACATTCGATCAGGTCAACAGTGGACACACAATGAGATAACTATTTTGTTGGGACATGTTTTTAGTCAAAGAATAGATCAGCAAGAACTTTATGATCTAGATCAGCTCGTGCAATCTCATCAAAATGGCAATCAATGAAAAATATATTAAACAATTATGTAAATAATTCTTTAATACAAGTCTAAATATAAGAAATAATTCAATTAAAAAAATACATAATCTTTTTTCTTTCCTATTTGTTATGATTCATGGATATTTTTCTCAATACTGTAAATGAAAGGCAGCTAATTGAAATTCATTTAGTTATAATAAAAAATTTATCTATATTATTGTTTTCTACAAAAAAAGTTTTTCATTGTTTTGTACTAACATTCTTTTATCAATTATAATCTTTCTTTCCTCTTGATAAATTTCATAGGTAATCCTTTCTTTGTCTAAATATGTTTGCAAAGATTTGGTATCTGCTAATTTAAAAATGTAAGGCGCAATTTTCTCACCTTGTTCCTTGTTCAAAATACTTCTAATGGTGCTATAATTCTTGGGTTCCATGGTAAGACCTAACATAAATTAACTTCATATTAACTATTTTTATATAGAGGTAATTCTATATATCACCTAAATATTAAGAGGATAACAAATGGAAGATTTTAATAATCATGTTACTAAATTTTGATCCCTGAAATTCTTGGTAACACCAATATCATTTAATGCATCACATAAACAATCAAAGATTGTAATTCTATCTTTTAATGTTAAATTTAAGGGTAGAGTGTAGGTAACACGAATTTCGACTGATATGTGGATAAATTTTTTTGGTTGCCGATCACTAAACAATTAAAAAATAAAATAAAAAATATATGACGTATTTTTATTGACCAAAAAAAATAATACTTTTTAAATATATATTACTTTCTGTAATATTTCTTAATATCTTTATCTTTGACTACTTGGAAGCTATATCACATATAAATTAAAAAATAATTACAAATTTAGCAGAATGTTTATTAAGAAGATTAGGTGTAGACCATTTGCCCTTTCTTTTTTTTTGTATATAATCATTGAAGGTGTTGAAAAAATGTGTACCCGAGTAAGAATGTTCTTCTGATGTTAAAGTGCTATCATTGCCATAATCATACCAAGCAAAATACAAAAGATTCTGTTCATTTTTTTTAATAGTAAAACGAATATATGATCCTCCAATATTTGTAATAATTGAATATCCAGGAAGAATTGGTACATATGTTTTTTGATCTATGTCTATATCACATCCTTCAACTGTAAGTAAATTATAATAATTATTCTCTGGAGTCTCTGTAATTTGTAAGTTATTATGGTATTCCAATACTTCCAAATTTGAAGAATCATCCCGAATTAACCAGGTTCTATTAGGACGCCTTAACAGTTTATAATTAGAGTTATTATTACAAAGAGTATTATACCACTTACCATGTGAACTCATTAGAAGTAAATTTTTGAATATTATTATAACGCTAAAAAAAAATATATATATATATATAAATATTGTTTTTATTATAATGTTAAAAAAAAAAGTATTTATTTGTAATATAAATATAATTTTATTTTTATTAAATAGAAAATTTACTATTGTTATGTTTTACTAAGGTAT